AAAAAAAAAAAAAAAAAAAAAAAAAAAAAAAATGTAAAACCATTTCTTAGCTCTCAGGCCATTCAAACACTGGCCACAGGAGGGCTGTTGTTTGCTGATCCCTGACTTAGAACGCAGACAACAGACCCATACTGCCTGGGTTAATAATTCTGGCTCCGATATTGTGAAAAAGTTACTTAAGCTCTGTGCCTCCATTTTCGCAAGTGTACAATGGGAACGCTACCAGCCCTAGCTCATAGTGTTGTTGTGAGGGCTAAATATGCGTGAATTTATAGACACTTAGAATGGTGCCCAACACACAGTAAGCACAAGTGTTTGCTATTATTATTTGTGAGTTTATCATCAGGCAGTAACCCATGGGCCCCCAAACAGCAGAAACCTTGTCTTTCTTATTCACATGGCAAGGAACTATGCTTGGCTTAATGAACATCTTTTAAGTAAATGAGCACATATAGACCCTCTACGGGAAGACAGGGTAGGAAGCGACTGTGAGTAGGGTGCCCAGATAGGCAGGCTCCTGAGGATGGCAGAGGGGGATTCAGTTCTGGAGGCAGGGAAAACAAATCAACCAGGCTGGAGATGGAGCATCTGCTCAGTGGGAATGCCACCCATACCTAAGGGCACTGCTACCCGACCTGGCAGTGCCAGTCCTTGACATCAGAGCCCCAAAGAGCTTGATGTCTGCAGGAACTAGGAGACTGAAAGAACAGGAGGGATAGCGATCAAGCACAAGGGCATTCAAGGTCAGCGACAGCAAGGTCTGGCTGAGGAAACCTGGCGACCATCACACTCTCTTCTTACCCTTCCCACCCTTTGCAGGTCCGCCAGCCCAATGATGAGCGGAGCCAGAGCCAGGCCTAAAGTGCCTTTATTTCTTTCAGTTATGCTTGTGGCTGGAGTGAGGGTGAGGGAAGAGCCCATGGCCCGGGATCCCCGGAGACCAGGGCTGATGATACCAGCTGCCGTAGGTGAGGTACCAGGCAAAGGTCCCCACCGCGGCGCCCACCACCTTGTGAGTATATTGGTGGAAATAGATGACGGTGCAGAGCAGCAAGAAGTTCCAGAGGCCCAGCAGCAGCACGTTGAGCAGGAAGACAAGGCGCAGGGGTGCGCCGGCGGGCAGCCCGTGGGCCAGGTACTTGGCGAACACTGCTGCTTCCTCGGCCATGAGCAGGCAGCAGAAGGTGAGCAGGAAGGTGTGGGAGGAGACGGTGTAGCCCCGCCACTGGTGGCCAGCCGCCAGGCAGCTGCGGCGGTCCGGCAGCTCGCGGAGCAGCAGGCCCTGGGGCAGAGGCTCGAAGCAGGAGCCTGTCAGGTCCTCGATGAGCAGGAAGGCCCGGCCAGCACCCCGCCACACAGCTGCCCCAACCACCAAGCGGCTCAGGTGCCGGGCAGTCACTGCCACTCGCCGTGTAGCCAGGAACACCACCAGCAACACGAAGCCCCCCAGGAAGGTGCACGTCCAGCCCCATGCTGAATTCACAAACTTTCTGTGGCAGAGAAGAGGGAGGGCTGCTGAGACCCCCTCAGCCCCATCTCCCCACCCTGCTCTACGTTCCCATCACGGCCCTGCCTCCGGTCGCATCTGTCGTTCCTGGTTCTCTGTTTCCTGGCCCCCCCCCCCCTTCCCCCCCCCCGCCCCCCCCCCCGTGCACTTGAACTTGGCCATCTCCTTAGCGGCCCATTCAGCCTTCTAGGGCCCATGTTTCCTCTTCCGCGCTGCTCCTGTACCCCCGTGACTCTGTTCCCCTCCCCCTCTGACCTTCGCCTCAAGCTCCTTGCCTATTTTTAGTGTCCTTGACTGGCAAGAGCACAGAAACCTGGAGGAGGGAGCTGGGGTCCCAGAGCCCAGGCAGCCAGCGCGAACGGCCTCGAGTGGACTCACATGTTGAAGAAGTTGCCATGGCTGGCAAAGATGGTCCGAGGGTTGACATGGAACTGCAGAAGGGGCCCGAAGATGACCACTGCTGCCAGCCAGGCATGGTAGAGGCGCCGTAAGCAGGGGCTGCCCAGGAGGTGGGCAGCCTGTTCGCTTCCAAAGTAGAGCAAAGCAGAGGCCACCCAGAGCAGCACCCTGACCAAGCAGCCCAGCAGTGCCCAGGTCTGGGCCCCGGCCCCCCGCCCTGCCCCCACCGCCGGCCCCCGCTCCATGTTCCCTCCCCTCCCCACTAACCGCTTGCTCTGCTGGGCAGCTGAGGAGGGGCTGATGGGGCTCCCCCTGGACAAGGACAGACAGTGACAGGTGTGGCAGACACTGGGCAGAGCCCTGTTGGCAGCTGGCAGGCGGGGGAGAGGGGCGGGGGGCAGTAAGGGGCTGGGGCGGAGGGCTGCCACGTCAGCAGTGTTCTCGCCTTGGGTGTGTGTCCTGACAGCAGCCTGTGTCCTTCCCTGTTAGTGCTGTGCCTCCTTGACCCTCTAGGCTGGAACCATGTCCTAGTTCATGTTTCAGGGCCACGACCGAAACATGGGATGTTTTTGGCCACAGCCTGTTTGGGTCTGCCTGTCTCTGTTTGGTCAGCCAAAGTCACCCCCACCCCGCCCAGGTCGGACTCGCAGAGCCCTGAAGATCAGGTTCACTCCCAGGTGATAGTGGGTGGTGGAGACCCTAGAAGGAAGATCCCCAGCCTGGAGTCCATCAAATCCTAAGGTTGTGTCCCCCAACCAGTTACCCTGGGACTTGGCCTCCCAGCCTTACCACTGAGGCTGGACCCATAGGGCGGTGAGCAACCCACCCAAGGGAAGTCCCTGATATTCAGTAACTGTTTTGAGATCCCTTTTTGTCTTCCTTCCTCATTCCTCAAAACTGGTGGTGGGATCTCAGAGCACAGTGGAGGCCCGTAAAGTAGTGAAAGGAATGAGCAAGAAAGGGCACCTGGGTTCTGGCCCAACTCTGTGACTTCGAGAAAATCAACTAACCATCCTTGGTCCTCAGTGCCATCATCTGCAAACTGACCGAGATGGATTAACCAATCAGGATCCTTGCAGATCCTACAGCCCACACCTTGACATAGTCTGTGCTCAGGGATCCTATACCTGAAGACCTACAGAAGCACTCACACATTTTTAAGTTGACACAAAATTTTACATTGTAATTTTAAATAGTTGCAAAGGACATAATTTCCAGTGTATCATATATGTTGACATTTCAAAAATAAAGCTATCGTTATCACTCTTTTAAATATATCCAATGGAATCTAAACACTACAGTGATTATATACCTCACGGTTTTTCATTTAAAAACATGTGACAAGATCTTAAGAGTCAGAAATAACATTTCCATTCTTTCCCCACAGAAATTATCCTAATGTTTTTATGCCTAAAAGTCTTTCATTGATCACACTTCTCTGCCAAAAGTAGATTATTTGAAACAATTTTTACACATTTCCTGTAATCTCAAGGTTAAACTTTTTCTGTATTGAATTTCCTAGTTTTTACTAGTACAAATTTCAAAATTGTTAGTAGTACAAAATGTATTATTTGTACAACAAACATTCCACACAGTTTGATAATTAATAATAAACTAAAATTGTATTGGAAATGCATTTTTTTTCAAGTGGAATTTATAAAGTTTTCTTTTTTAAAATATTTATTTATTTATTTTTGGCTGCATTGGGTCTTTGTTGCTGTGCGCGGGCTTTTCTCTAGTAGTGGTGAGCGGGGGCTACTCTTCGTTGTGGTGCGCGGGCTTCTCATTGCGGTGGCTTCTCTTGTTGCGGAGCATGGGCTCTAGGTGCACGGGCTTCAGTAGTTGTGGCATGCGGGCTCAGCAGTTGTGGCTCGCGGGCTCTAGAGCACAAGCTCAGTACTTGCAGCGCATGGGCTTAGTTGCTCCACGGCATGTGGGATCTTCCTGGACCAGGGCTCAAAGCTGTGTCCCCTGCATTGGCAGGCGGATTCTTAACCACTGTGCCACCAGGGAAGCCCGGAAATGCATTTCTTAATGAGAAGAATAGATGGCCCTTGGGGCCTTGACAAAATGAGGCTTTGAGGACACTAATAATTTTAATTGGCCTCTACCTTTGGCATCCTGGAGGTAAAACAGTTCTGGGTGAGACGGGTTGGCATCTCTGGGTGAAGAGGCAGAGGGGGGAAAGAAAAGGGCTGGTGGGAAAGGAGATCTGCATGACAGTTTCATGCAAGCGGATCAACTGGAGGAAAGAGAGCATATGGAGGCCAAGCATCTGGACAATTTCTTTTATTTTAAAAAATTTATTTATTTATGTATTTATTTAGGCCACACCGCAAGGTATGTGGGATCTTAGTTCCCCTACCACGGATCGAACCCGTGCCTCCTGCAGTGGAAGCTCAGAGTCCTAACCACTGGACCGCCAGGGAAGTCCCTTTACTCTTTTGAAACTACCTGCTTTGCTGCTGAATAGGTACATCTTTTAACCCCTTGCTGTGTCTTTAAGACCCCCCGGAGGTGTGCATCCAGGTTCCTTAGAGATAATGGGGAAGATCAATCAGAGCTGCTCCCCTACTGACCATACCATGGGTCTGCCCTGGGGCATGGTGCCTGACCTCTGCACACCTCCATTTCCTCACCTGTAAAAAAGGGTGGCTGTGAGGTGGATAAGGTTCTAAGTGTGAAGTGCCCAGACAGGACCTGGCGTCAGTGCCCGCCAGGTGCTCTCTGGCTCTGGGCTACTTCCTTCCGTAGACTGGACCAGCTCCAGGGCAGAGCTGATGTGGGTGTTCCAGGTTCTCATCTAAAATGTGTTTATTTCCTGTTACCTCGATTTCTCCTTGCTGGGCAGTTTCTGAGGCTGGTGAGGGACGCCCTGTTGCAAAGCTCAGTTAACTAATGATTTTGGTATTTCCATTCATCTTGGGGCATCAAAGCAGTGTTTTCTCCCACAGAGGAGCACATCTGAAGGCTCTGTTGAAACTGTTTTCTTGAAGTGAGAGGATAAAAGATCTCAGACAGGAAAAAGAGAGAGACAGACGGACACTAAGCTAGGTTCCCACAGAGAGTTTATTGAGGGAGCCAAAGCCAGTGAGAGGACGAAGGAGTCCTACATTAACATCCCTCCTCGAAGCCGCTGGCCTCCTGCACGAGGGAACACTCGTGGAGGGGAGGGCCCGCCCTGTGTGGGGTCACACAGAGCCTGTCACACCACAGCCTGCCTACCCCAAAGACCCAGACACGTTAGACAGAAGACGTAATTCCCAGCCAGGGAGGGTGCTGAGGACACACCTTACCCATTCCCCCCTCCCCTGAGGGGCTAGAGCTCTAGCCATTAGGAACTCTGGAAGAAAGGCAAGGACGCCTGGCCCTGATTGACCAGTTTAGTCCTCAGCGCGGAAGGCCTGGGCAATGGGCCTGGTTCAGTTCAGACTTGGCCCCAGGCATCTACTCTAGGAGCTAAGATTTAACATCCAAACAAGATTAAAAACACTCAGGACGTTACTCCTGCTGACCAGATAATGGCAGTCCTGCCAGACCCTGACCAGAGACAGAGACCCAAGTTGATGGGTGTGAGCATGTGAGAAAACCACTCTGCCCCAAGGGGAGGATCTCCCTCCCGGGGCTTAGCTAGAGGGCCGAAGCCTGGGCTTCTGTTTCTCCCCACCCAATGCCACTGATTCCCCAAAGATCCCCCAGAAGGGAGAAAGGGAGGAGGCGGAGAGATGTCAAAAGGCTCACCCATGAATGGGGCTGGAAGTCAGATCTACTGGGGCGAGGAAAAGGCTGTAGAGGGGTGGGACATTGGGGCAGGGGTGCTCGGGTGTTCCTCAGACTCTGGCATGTCATCCTGGAAGTACTCAGCCTGGCGGTACTGCCACAGACGCAGGTTCCCGTCCCACTGCGGGGCAGAAGGTGGCAAGTAGTCAGGAGGCACTGCTCCCTCCTGGGTCCAAGTCCCAGACACACACTGGCCCCCCTAACCACAGCATCCTCACCGAACTGCTGACAATCTTCTCCTCGAAGGGGTGCCAGCTGACATCACGCACACAGGCCTTGTGGTTGGTCAGCTTCTTCACGATGTGGCCACTGAGGAGGTCGTATACTGTCCAGGAAAGGCCAGAGTGGAGAGGGGCCGCCAGAAGACCTTCGAGCCACCCCTCATCTCTCTCTGAGCAGCACCACTTACCTGCCTCTCAGGCAACTTCCCATTTTCCCAGGGGAGCAAAGCCCATGCCCGAGGATGGTGTTAGTTTCTTTTCCCTACCTCAGGTTGAGGGTATGGTCTAGCAGAGCTTGGGTATCTCTGGCCCTTAGCTAAATGTCACAGGGTCTACAGTTAAGAAAATGAAATGTGGCTTTAAAGTAGCCATTTTCTTAAAAGCCCACAAGATATGGAAGACACCACAAAAGTGAACAATGGGCTGTCTCCACAGACATGTGAACGTGCTATTCCTTTTCTGGACGTGGGTGCACCTTTCTCTCTCCCTGGATAGGCCTCCATCTCAGGGCCTCCCTAGGTTTGGCACTGTCTTAGGCTCCTGTGACTGTGTGTTTGTGACTGTGTGTTTCTTTTCGTGCATTCCTCCTACTTCAGTGGCTGTACATCTTTTACTACTTGCTGCTGTCTTTTTGTGTCATTCTTTTTGTCTCTGTTCCCTCCTACCTTTCATCTGCAATCTCTTCCCTTGACTGGCTGAAAAACAGAACTGAGTATATTTTTGGCAATCTAGTATATTTACTGACTAGAATTCTGTGTCCCTTTTCTTAATTTAAAATGCTGATGAATAGAATGTTTTCTCTTTCTCCGTTTAAGCCTCCCTGCTCCAGGCTAAATGAAATTTCACTTGTAATTGTCACTGGGCTTCTTAAGGTAGTCACTGGTGGTTACAGGTAGAATGCCAGGGGGACACAGCTGCCCTTCCCAAGGCCCCCTGTTCAGACACAGTCCTTACCGACCACTTTGCCAGTGGAGCAGCCACTGTAGATGAATTGCTGGCCGGTGCTATGGGTGGGGGAGAATCGGCAGCGGATGAGGGTATGCAGCACCCCATGGCCCCGGTAGGTCATCAAGGAGCTGTCCCCTGGGAGCTTCAGCTTCCGCCAGGCTGGGGAGGGATGCAGGGTGAGCCCTGGGTTAGGGAGTCTGGATTCCCCTGTATCACTGGTCCTCAGCAAAGACTGATGCTCAAAGACAATTGCCTTTCCAATTCCCAACTGGTGGCTCTTTCCCCATCTAACGGTCAGCTGATACACACCAATATGGCTCTGCTGATGGTCAAGACACTGAAATACTTTTGCATTCGTAGATTTGGAGGGATCCCCAGCCCCTATACTGAGAACCCCTGGCTCTCCCATGGTTCAGCAAACAAAGAGTTAATGCCTGGCAAGGGGGAGGGCTCCAGGCTTTGGCCCATCCACGGTGCCCATGCCAGGCCCTGCCAGGGGTTAAATGTTTTAGCTATCACCCCCGACCCTTCACTCTCCAGATCTCGGGTTCTACATCCGCTCTCACCTTTTTTGGGCACCTGCTGCCAGCGGTAGTCCCAGTTTTGCTGTGTGGCAGCCTGGCGAGAGGCTTCCATGCCTTCCCGGCTAGAAAAGCGTCGGATATCCCAGAGCTTGATGGTCTGGTCTTTGGAGTTTGAGATGAGATACCGGGCATCTCCCTACGAATCCCAAGATGGATAATGAAGCATCGGAGCTTGCAGATGTCAGTGTCTGTCAGTCCAGCTCCC